CTGCTGAAGGCCTTCAGTTCATGTCTTGAGGGTGGAGGGCTAGGGTATTCCTCCTCTTTGTCTCCTCCCATTGTTTGGAGAAAGTTGAAAGAGGGGAAGCTGGAGGCAATTCCTTGGATAAGAGCCATGCTGGCAGAGAGTGCAGTCAGTTGAATTGCCTCAAAAAGGTGTTGTTGCTAAATACTAACAGGCTTTCTTGCTTTCCTCCTGCATTCATAGCTGCATCTTGTACATTGGAGAGACTGGCAGCAAGAGATGTGAATATACTATGTCATAAGTTTACATAGTGATAGCTTAATACTATTTTGTTTTATCGAACAATAATTTTTAATCCATGTTTGCCAGTTTACCTGAACCTTCTTGGTCATGTTGTGCAATAGAGTGGTGAGCTGACCTGGCTGTCTTCAAATGCCCATGTAGCTCCTGTCATGTTCCCCATCAACAGGATGGGGGAGGAAATAAGATAGAAAAACATGTGGGTCAAGATGAGCAGAGCCATCATCAATTACTGTCATGGGCAAAACAGAGTTGAAGAAAATTTCCAATTAAAATTAATTTGAATGGTAAAATCCAGACCATTTAAAATATCTTCTTGTTCCCTGCTTATGTTTCTGTAAGCTCAGCTTCACTCCTTAAGTCCTGCTACCAGTTTACTCTGGAGGATACTAGCCTTGAGAGGATGACTGATCCTCTATATTTTTTTATTGCTTCAGTGTTGCTTCAAAGTCATGGACCAGCTAGACTAAACAGATTCAGGTTTGGTTTATTTTTTTTCATTGATACATGAGTACCACTGTAGAAAAGAACTATGTAGGTGGGCATTCTTGTAGCTTCTTGGAAGGGCAAATATTAACAGGTTTTGGAGGTTATTGTTTGCCCTGACTTATTAAAGTGAAATGTTTTTCAGCTTTCCACTGTGACCTAGAAATAGCATGCTTCCATTTTTACTCTTGTCTGTGTTGACCGTTTTGTCCTGTTTTTTGCTGAGCTGTATCTTTTAATCCCAAATGTTTGAAAGCTTTAAGTAAACTAATTCTTACCATCATTGCTTTAGCTGCTTCCTTACTTGCCTGTGTAGAAGCAAGGAATTCATTTCAGGCAGCAGCATACGTTGTATTGGTAGGTATTTCAAGTAATTGTTTTTATAGTGTCTGCAGCCTTGTACAAAAATGTGGTTCACTGTTTTTTGGCAGTTACTTGAATATGTACTAGCTTGTACAGCAGATAGTAGATTACAAAAACTGAAGCAGACACTTAGAGGTGGTCAAAGTCATGCAAGTACAAGGCAGCAGCTCTGAAACCTATCCTGTTGCAAATGATAGAGTACAGATGGATATGGCATCTGTGTTTTGTAGCTGAGGGTTATAAGGAAGTGGCCTGGCAATGGAGCAGTTCAAACTGATTGTAGTAGAGGTTGTAACACAATTTGAAATATGGTTGCCTTGAGGTTCTGCTTTCAAAAGGACTAGGGAGTCCTGTGGAAGATGAAGACTGTGTTACATGGCAAGTTAGATTTCCCTTAATATAGATCAAGGGGTTTTTTTTTGTTTGTTTGTTTTTTGGTTAATTATCTTACTAAATTCCTCTGTGTGGTGTTTGGCTGAAACCCAGGCTCTTTGTTTTTGCTGTTTCTAATACTAAAAGCTTTTCAGCATCAGTTGATAAGTAGTCCTGCTCTGAGAATAAGGGGTTTTGATTAAGTGCTGTCCTTTGCACTGAAATTGAACATGTGCTCATGATCTCGGCGGCTTGGATTTCTACTGATTCATGCTGTGACACAAAGCAAAATGATTTTGTAAACTTTAATGGCTAAGTTAATCTAGAATCTTTGAAGATATTCTGGTTGGTTTAAAGCTAGTAATCAGCACTACTGTAGTGTCACAATAAGATTGTGGATGACAGATTTGTCCTTTGCTGTAGGTGACAAGTAAAAGGTTGATCTTACAGAGTTTTTGTTTACTCCTGGTAAACTTAGTGTACAGTTTCAAAAGTCTGCTATTGCTGATTTTAAAAATAATAGCAATAACTTATTTAAGTATAGCAGTTGTTGAAAAATTTTACCTGTACTTATCTATGCTTATGACTTGCTTGCTAAATAGCCACAACTCTTACACTTTTTTGTTTCAAATTCTTGAGTAGAGTACACTCCAAAGGAAGACTGTAGGGATTACTGAAGGGATAAGAAAGTTCTTTTAGAACTTTCTCCAGAAGAGAGACATTTATCTGGTTGTGATGTGGTCATAGTAATTTAATCTTACGTTAATCACTTGTGGATAGATAGTGTTTGAGAATAATAGTATTTAAGTAGTACTTGTTTAGATTTACTGAAACTCAAGTATTTTTCCTATTACCATGGTATGTGAGTGTTTTTCTAGTACATTCTCATGTCTTCACATCACTTTGAAGTTAACCTTCTATATGACTTAAACCTTTGAGTCATAATATTTTGAATGTTGTTGCTTGAACTTTGAAAATTGCTTTGAAATGCTCCATACTGATGAATAACTGACATGTCTTGCAGACAGAAGTAATATAAAAGTTCACCTGGTATTTGGGCTGTTACTTGAGTTTTACATCACTCCTTCCAAGTGATTTGGTCTTCGAGTGTGTCTGAGTAGTGCTTTAGAAAGGATGTCTCTCTAGGGGAAGGTGAGATGGTCCTTGTAAGCTGTGCACATGTTGCCTCCTGTTGGAAGATGAGCACACAGGTGTGGTGACCAAGGGAAAAAAACTTTAATTTCCCTTTATTATACCCAAAACTTATGTATATGCTTAAGGTTTTCCATTTAATATAGCAAGTACAGGTTTGTGCATTGTGCTAAATGTTGTGTTTCATTTCATGTAACATCTCATCTGTGTTCTTAGTGATGCTTTTGATGTATGGGTAGACTTCTGTATTGCAGTGTAGCACAATGTACCTTAACACTGGTTTCTGAACTCTGTGTACTCACCAGGTGTTTCTTGTCTTAGATTTTCAACTTTTTAAATGCTAGACATAAATCCTGTTTAACAGAGTAAATATTTTGTTAGCACTTCTCTCAAGTGTTTACAAAAAAGTTTCAAGTGTGTTTGAGGTGGTCCAATATCATTAGTCCTTTATAGAAACTTAGACAAGTCTTCACTTCTTGTATCATCTGCAAGCACTTTCAATTATATTGTAATAAGTCTTTACTTCTAGATTGTGTGGGGAGTATTCTTCATCATTGTGGCACTGCTCTTCACTGTCTCTCTGTTCTTGTCAAAGTAAGTATGTTTCAACATTTTTCTTAACCACCTAAACTATATAGTTTCTGCTCTAACATAAAAATTTGGGTGGTTTGCTTCAAGAATCAGCCCACTTCTTCTCTATGGTACATTTCTGTAACTAGAGCTGCATTTCTTATTATAATAATATATATTGAAACTGAACAAAATGTGCTAAGACAGATTCAAAAAAGGACATGGTTCAGCTTGATGGACTATATGTTGCTGAAAACAATTCTGATTTGGCAGAGAAATTTAGTATAGGATAAGGAAGCTTAATTCAGACTATAGAATAATTCTGATTGCTTGAATGACTCAATGCATTTAGGTACTTCTTAGGCTGGGTAACAGGTGCTTAAATTCTTGCAGTAAATTACATGTATAATCCATTTTGATGTACGTTAAATTGCAGTTGTTTCACGGTATTGAGCCAGCTACAAATCTGGTGGATTTCAATGAAGATTGAAGGTCTTAAATGTGGGCATTTTTACTTCTTCACACTGGGCAAATAAGCCCAGAAATCAATATTACTTTTCACAGGACAAGCACAAGAAGTGTGGTAAAACAAAGTATGTGTCCATATAGATGTGAAGAAGCTGTCAGTCTCTGAGCTTAGTTCATCTTCTTCTGATCTGCCCTTCTAAATGAAATTGAAGACAAAGCTCTGGGAGAACCATTAGTGCTTACTCAGTTTTTCTTAATTACTGCAGTTTGGACAAAGCTCTTCATTCGACTGGCTTCAACTCAGGATTTATAATTTTAGGAACTAATCTGACCAATCCATTGAATATGCTGTTACCTGTTCTTCAAACAGTAAGTAAAAAAATGGGTGATACACAATATGTAAGGATGCCCTCTCTGTTTTCTGGTAAGCTGTCAAAAGGCAAACTACACTTCACCTCAAGTAACTCATTAAAACAAAATTGTCCAGATGTTTGCTCTGTAAAAGCAAGGCAACTTACTTGTTAAGAATCTTTTAGTAACTAGATACTGATTTTAAAATTTTGGGTGGATGGAAGCCAGTTGCTGGAAGAAGGTGGTGCTTGAAACTAGCTTCCATCTGATGAGAACATAGCAGCAATGAAGAAGGACATCACTTGTAGTTATCACGCACAGAATAAAAGCAACTTTCTCCCACGCCCTTGTTGTCTGCCTAATTTATGGTTTATACCCCTAAGTGAAGTAAATGCACTTTTTCACTTAATAATTTATTGTACACTAGAAGACATTGCGCTCTGTGCAGTTATGTATGTTAAAGTAATGCATTAGTCTTTGAAATAAACAGTACATAAAAACAAACATCTGTTAACTTCAGTAGGGTTGAAAGGCATCAAGACCACATATGAATTTAGCAGTCAGTCATTGCTAAGCTAAGAAAGCCTTAATGTAACCTAGTGTTTTACTTCCCCTATTTGAGTTCTTTACATTTTCTTGGTATAATGGGTCAACACAATGGATTGCTTCCCCAGGGTTTCTAAAACTATTGAACACCTAAGCTCACAGTATATTGAGAATAGTAGTGTTCAGCAATACAATTATCTCAAACTATTGTTAAAGAAATATAAAAATCAAGTTTTGTATGCAAATACGTTCAGAAACGTTCACAGTTTATACAGTTCTAAAATTATTATTGCCACTGTGAACAGCCTTTCAGCCGAGCTCTCAGAACGTACATTTTTAGGCCAAGAAATACTTAATTCTAACTCTGCAAAATTAAGGCAAGTTTTAAATTAAGAAAAGTGCTTGGTTGCTTTCCCAAACTAATAGTGCAAGCTCTTTTAGCAACATTTGGAGCCAGCTATGTAAAACCTTTAAATTGAACGACTCTTACTACCTCAGATGCTATAGATAGAAGCTACTTATTTAGCTTTCAGTGGGGAAGGAGCTTGTTCTTGAATGTGAACATTTTTGTCTTTAACTGCCTGTGTTCTTTCTTTAGGTTTTCCCCCTCGATTATATTCTTATTACAACTATTGTTATGTACTTTATCTTCACTTCGATGGCAGGGATTCGAAATATGGGTATATGGTTCTTCTGGATAAGGGTAAATATATTCAGAGTTTATAATCTTCAGTAGGATGTTTGAAGAATGTGATCATATATTAAATAAGTAGTCATTATTTATTCACTGTGTCATAAATTCTTGATTTTATGAATAGCATTTTCTGTATGTCTAATGAGAGTTAGAAGTCTATTGTACAATTTTCACTGCTTTTGAAAGTTGTTAAGGTGTTTGCTAAGCTATCAGACCAAAACTGATGTTATACTTTGATAATACAGTCAACTGACTCAAGTGTTCAATCCATGGCATTTTAGCTTCTGGCTTTTCAAAGTTTAAACCACATAAATCTGATATACTGGAAGCATTAGTGAATTCTGTGGTTAAAATCTGAAATGTGTATGCAGTCAGTAGTGCTTGGATTATTTTCTAGGTGGCAAATGTAATACCTTGATAAGAGAAAACAGTACGATGAGGACAAGGCATATCTGCAGATGATGTAAATAATATTTTAAAAAGCAGCTTCATATCCAACAGTACGCCATTCATGCCTACGATGCTTGCTGAAATATTTCCCTGCTCCTGTGCTTATTTTCCCTTTAATACTGTAACCTTTTCATGTGGTGACAGCCCAAAATTGTGAACAATGACCCTGAATCCTAGTAAAGAGTTATAAGATTGGCTGTTAGTTTAGGTCTTCTGTCACTTACCTCAGCTGCAAACTTCTTAACCATAATGTGGTACTCACATTGATCCTTGGGGGATCCTTGGGTGGTATCTACAGGTTAACAGTGAAGGATTATATTGTTCCTTGCAATGTAAAGTGGGAAAGATGCCACCATATGGTATGCAAATTTTCTCAGAGCCTGTGAAGATTATCGCATAGCTTTGTCCACTGTTTCTAGATCTGAGTAGAGGTGTAGTGATAGATAATGATGCCTCACCTTGACCAAAGGACACAATATTCTTTGATAAACTAAGGCACAGTTGATTATCAGTGATAGGCAACGCTATTTAAATCTTGTTAATAACTGCCACTTTAATCAATGTTCTAGGTCATTAATACAAGAAACAATTATTTGGTTAAGTAGCCGTGCTCTCAAATTCAGGCAAAAACACCTGAAAACCTGTTTTCACTCATTGCAATTAAGTTATCATGATAACTTTAGCAGCCTCCTTCTTCTGTCTATAGAATTAAAGCTGTTACTTGAATTAAAGAGGAATTTAAATGTCTTCAGAAAAAATACATTAATATTTGTATGTTTTCTGCTTTTAGCTTTATAAAATCAGACGAGGAAAAACTCGACCTCAAGCACTCTTGTTTCTCTGTATGATACTTCTGTTGATAGTTCTTCATACAAGTTACATGATCTACAGTCTTGCCCCTCAGTATGTCATGTATGGAAGCCAAAAATACCTGGTACAGGTGAGATGTCATTTTTCTTAAATGTAAATTTGCCTTCTGTATCAAAAATATACTGTTTACAGTGATTTTTTAAAGCAAGGCCCATTATCAGTTTTGAGGACTTGTGTAGCCAAGTTACTTTAACAACTACTAGGTCTCTTGATAATGCACTAACCAGAAACTAGTTGTACTATATATAGCATAACTTAATTCCTAAATCATCTTCAGACAGTTCAAAACTTTGAATATTACTTCTGTTCTTTTGACAAGACATCTGCTAGCTTCTACTAGATTTTGTACTGCTATGCTTAGGTTGCTGAGTGATTGCAATGAGGATGAATTTTAGAGTGCAAGGATGTCTATAGACATGTTATTGTTTGGTAGTTGATAGTTTTTACGTGCATATGTGAGAAATGACGAAGATAATTTGATACAGTAGAGGATAAGAATTAGGCTGAGTATGTGCTGATAGATCACATTTCAGACTCTTTGAACTGCCCAACTTCATGAAACTCATTCCAGTTCTTGTTCTATAAAATCTTCCACAGAATTGAGTAGTTAATATTAGCCTCTACTTTTGTTATTACACTTCTCGGTACTTCAGGGTTTTGGTTTTTTAAGTCTTTTGTCTTCTGTACCTAAAGGCTTTAACTGTTGTATTTCATCTTAGTTTGAGTGGAGGTCTTAAGATCTTTTGAGAAGTTCAAAGTTACACATCATAAGCATTTTGAGGGGGTTTACAGAGAGCTCTTTACCATGATCTAGTATCCGACAAGGGTAGGCTTTGTTGGACCTGATCTTGCAAACATAGACAGCTAACCAGGTCCAGATATCTTGGTGTGCTGTTTGGTGTTAAAAGTATAAGCTTCACAAAGACAAAACAATGGAACCAGAGTTGTTGGGAGAGAGAATTTTAATGAGACCAAAGTAACTACGTGCTGCTTTGAGCATTCAGGATACTTCTATTAGTTTTCCAGAAGGCTGTGCCTCTGGGAAAAGATCACACTGCTTTAAAAAAAACAATTACCTATCAACCACATTCAGCTGAAAATATTTAGTAAAATGTGTAGCTTAACAGTATCAGTTCTTTCAGTTTAAGCAGAACAGATGCAGAACACTTTGAGCAAAAGAATTACAAGAAGAAATTGGAGTAGTGTTAAACATGCTGAAGAAGAGGAATCTGATCAACTTAAATGGGCTGAGTTGATGTGGTAGAATTGTCACAGCAGGAAGTAAAGCATTTAATAAATGCTGCTCTTCTACTATACATCTTCTACTGTACTGTACACTCTTCTACTCTACACCTAAATTGTCTGGTAATGGGAGGCTGGTCATCCTCATACCAATCCAAACACAGTAATAGAATCACCGTAAGGTACTTGATTATTTGGTGTTTAGGAATGCATTTTTAATATTATGCTAGATATAACTAATACAAAATAAATATGCTTAGGAATGTAGAAATGGGCTCAATTTGTCAGAATTAGGGTAGCAGTAAGAAACTAAGCTGAAAATCAGTTTAGGAAAATGGTTGGCTTCTGTGGTGGGTTTTCATAGAATTCCTGGCATGATTACTTCCTATGTATGCAGTCTAGAATATCATACAGCTGTATCTGAATTAGTTATGAACTCAAGTCCCTGAAAAAGGCAGTTTGTTAGTTTTTTTTACATTGCAGACTGATTGTATGTCTCTAATTACAGTGCAGAACCATTGTGGGTGGAAAGGTAGGAAAGACAGTTACATTAAGGCTCCTACCAAGCTAGTCTTAAAACCTTTCAGTGACCTGAAAAAAGAATCCATCATGATAAAGCTTGCAGATAGCAGGGAAGATAGAAGAGAAAAGTAAATAATAGACTGTAACTAGCAGTTTGTTTTGCTTTATGAATGAAATTACAATGTTTCAGTAAAATAGTGTGTATATTAAGGGGGCAGAAGGATTGGGACTTTCATGTTAATAGTTTGTTATGACAAATGGTATCAGACCATAAATACATAGTTTGTAACAAATAGAGCACAGCAATAGGAAGGCTTTTATGTCATTCAGACAGCTATTGAAATACAACCCTAGTCAGTACTGCAAGAAGGATTAGCTGGAGTGGTTGAGTAGAGCCACAACTTTTCATTTAAAGGATTAACAAATTGTTACAGCCAAAATAGCTATACTGGATCTTTAGATTCTTATATTGTGTTTCAAAAAGCTTTGAAAAGAGCTATGTTTAAAGTGCATAGCTGTGTTTTATTGTTAAAATAACATAAAGCATAAAGAGTATGATCATAAATTCCATCTGGACTTCTCTGCCATACTGAGTGAAGACAAGGTTTTCAGACCACATCCTCTCAGCCTTTCAAAATGTGCCAGACTGTGTCTGACTGTCCTGATAACTGGATGTTAAATTTTTGTATTTTGAAATGCAGAGAGATGTTGGCTGGAAAGCATGAGTTGTACATTTTTCTGTGGATGTTAGCAATAAGGAGGTGGTTAAATTACAAATTGGTTATTACGGAACTGAGGAGTGACCAGGAATTGGTCAAATGAAATAGATTTTGTGCATATGTTAGGCTTCCTGATGATGGAAGCTCTGTGCACCAGTTTGCTTTGACAGCCTAGATTTTTATTGCTCACACACACCGTAGCCAATTTCAACATTTCAGGTAAAACCACTGGTAACCAACACTGTATAGAGTCAATAAATAAGCAATATTCTATATCAGCTCAGTGTACGCATGGGCTGATAAATGTGTGTCAGAATTTGGGGACTCAGTGTGTAAAAGGAGCACTTCCCCCTTTTCTTTGCTCTACAGTGATTCCCAATGTAGTAACCTGTCAAACTCATTTGTAACCAAAATTTATAGTGATTCATTAGACAGGTTAGAATTCCACTTGAATCTTGAATTGCTTCCTTTGAGACTCTTATTCTTGATGGGACATTTTAACTTGGAAGTGCTGTCTTGTCTTCCTTTCCTGCTACAGCTAGAAAATTGGAGCTCTGGTGAGGCAATTAATGTTAGCTAGACCCGGGCTACTTACTTTATTTAAATCTTTGACCATTGGTATGTTCAAAGCACTTGTTCACAATTAATCAGGTTGCTTTAGCTATGATGTCTGTAGGAAACTTCTTAAAGTTCTTTTGGATACAGTGCCCTTACCAACTGAGGGCCTGTGTAGGATTTGGTCAATGGAATTCTTCAAACACTGAGGAATGGTTGGGGTCATCTCTTAGCCTTTTTAACATCTGTGAACAACCATGAGTCTCTTCATAGCATTTCACAAAGATAAGAGTTCTGTCCACATCCAGACCTTCTCAGCTTTATAGCAAAAACAAAATATTGCCCATAAGTGCAAGTGCTATTTCTAGTCAGTGAGGCCCTGTTTTTTCCATTTGTTTGAAAGACCACTGCTTGCTGATGTTTCTGCCTAATGGACTTGTAAGACCTGACTGGCCCAGACAGGAATTAAAAGGTCAGCATTTGCCATAAGTGACACTGTTCCTTTGCCCTGGTTGAGGGCCAGAGCAGCAGCAGTCACCTTTCTTCCTCAGCCTTTGCATAGATAATTTTGAGGAGTGGGACTAAATTGCAGGACACTGAGTATCTCCATTGTAATCATCAGGAATCCAGAAGTATCAGTAAGGTGATGCATAAATAGATCTTTCAAATTTCTTGATCTTGGATATATGCAAGAATAAATTTAAGTGTAATGGGCTGTAACCTAACCCTTTACGTGATAGCTTTTTATTTCCCTAAGTGTCCAAAAAGCGTTAGCTTTTGAAGCACACACAGAGTTAATAAGTGCTTGGTTTTGTCTTTGGCTTGACTTTGACACATTCCATTTTCGGCTTTGGACTAGGAACTGGAACACTAGAGTTTTACTCTGACAGCATTCGTGCTAGAAGTATCTGAGCCTTGAGTGCTCTACTGTGTAGCGCTAAGTAAATTATTTTGAGGAGTTGTTCTGTAGATATCTCTCTGTCACTTATGCATCTCTATGTCCAGTCATTTTCTTGGGCAAAAGGGGCTCTACCTTATGTGTATGTGCTAATAAAAATCTGCTCAGATGACAGCATTATGGGCAAAGCTTTCATACCTTTTCTGGGAAATAGCATGGTTTGTGTACCTCTGAAGTACCTGAATGCTAATGCACAGAGCAGGGAAAACACAGGAGGAATTAGAAGCTTGCATGCAGTTGCAGCTCTGCAACCCAGCAGGATCAGAGACTTGGTGAAACAGCTCTCGCAAGTGGAGTGCTACCATGGCTTAGGTGTGAGCTCTGAGAGAGACAGTGGGAATGGCTAATAGGGAGGGTTGACCTTTATGTGAGAAAAGAGTGGGAATGTGTGGAGTTTTGCTTTAGCACCAGCTAAGTGCTCATGGAATGACATAAGGAAGTAGTAGTAGATGATCCCTTAAGACAACTATAAGTAATTTCATGTTCTCAGGTCCCCAGTTCTCACAGGAGGTATGAGCCACGCAGATATCTGCTGGAAAAGCAACACAGTTGAATACAAGCAATCCAGGAGACTTCTAGACTGCACTGACAACTTCCTGACACAGGCAGTTGAGGAACTGAAGTAGGGAGATGCTGTCTTGGACCTGGTGCTGAAAACAAGGAATAAATGATCATGGGCAGTCATGGCTGCAGTTAGTATGAGATGGTGAAAGTTCAGTATCCCAAGAGGATCTGAAGAGTACAGATAGTAGGATCACAGGCCTTGGACTCAGGAGAGCAGATTTTGGCATGTTCAGGGACCTCTTTAGAAGAGTTATAGTGTATAGAAACTGATTATGTACTGGCAAAGGTGGGATTTATTTATTTTTTCTAATTTCATTCAGTGGATGAAATGGTACTGAATTCTTGTTAAATCTTACTATAAGTATTGTTACTTTTTAGCTAATATTTTAATATAAGTAATAACTTGCAACTTCTTTTTATGTGGGTTAGCTTTTGTGTAAGACTACTTATGCTTTAATACTTGTGTAGTTTGCACAATACTACTTATTCAAATTTAAGTTTCTTATATATGTTAGAAATTCTAGCCATGTAAAAATGAAGATGGTTTGGTTGATAGTTATGAGATTATCATTATGTTTAGCATGGCAAATGTGATTCTTAATTTTTATTAGGTAGGGTTCATTTCATGAAATGCTTTACTTTGTCTTGGTTTTCAAATACATGTTTCTATTTTTCATGCCTATTTTACAAAAAATGCAGTAAACTTTCAGTGGACCTTGACAAGATTTTTACTAGTGTAGGATAGAAGGACTGCTAGGCAAAGAGGCTGATTTTATGGCTTTAAGGTACACCCCAGTGCCTGGAGCTTGTGAAAAGCATTTAGAGTTGAATCCAGATATGTCAGATGTCTTAAATTACAGGATTGTTCATGGAGAAGGATGATAGCAGACCTTGAAAAAAGCATAGGTAGTATCAAAGGAAACCTGCTGGTCTAGCTATTGTTGCATGTTGTATTTTAATTTTCTGCTATTTTAAAAGAAAATGAATAAAGATAGGGAAGAATTACAAGATGCTGATTGTTCTGTGCTTTTTTGTATGTCTCTGGATTACTAAACAATGTATTATGCTGTTCTTTTGAAAAAAGCACTCCCCATGACTGAGCAGTGTAAGCTGTGATGGTGACAGCCAGCAGGACTACCTTCTGGAGCTGGACAACTGCTTAATGTGCACTAAACGATTGAGATTGCATGTAATTTGTTCTTCGGCAGTTGTTCCTATCTGCACTTTGTCCTTTTATTTTCAGTTCCATTTTATTTCCTGGTATTTGTACCTAATCAATCTCCTTTTGGATCAGTCTCTTCTAAGGGCACCAGTGGTTTCCAAACTTCCAGGTGTTTACATGAAATGAATGTAACTGTTCATGTAAACGGTTGCTTTTTTGGATAGACACTTGGTTTTTTTTCTTGAATGTTCAGAGTGAAAGCTGAATTTACTCAGTAATGATAACTTTGTCAATTAAGTTGTCAGAAGTACTTTGTTTATGTGCCATCTTGTGCTGATTTCTGGTGAGTTTTGAGGGATGTGTTTTCTTCAGGCTAGAAAGGAAAAGGTGTTGACCCGTACTGATTTCTTTAGAGGGCTTCCTGTTTCGGAAGTGAGGGTGGAAGTAAGTACGGTAGATATGAGACCCTTTAAAGTGGGTTAGTGTATGAAGAAATCAATGTAGTACAAAGGATTTGCACTGGATTTTGCTAAAATTATTCACTGACTATTTAAAAGTAAGTGTGGTACGTAAGGAGTTCATATATTCTCTGAAAGGGTCAATTTGTACAAAGATTTGAGACATCAAGCAGGAATACTTAGGTTTTCTGTGGTTCACTTTAACATAACTTGTCTTCTTCCACCCTGGCTAAGTACATTGGATACCAGAATCTAGCTTTTAGCTAAGAAGTAAACAGCATTTGGTAACTTTATGTAAGTATAACACTTCCAGAGTGTCTTGAGTGCCAAAGTTGAATTCCAAATTAGAAGGTTTAATTTCAGAGATGAAGTTTTCCATTTGTCTTGAAAAAGTACACAAGCTATTACTCTTTTAAAATGAAAACGTATTTAGAAATATTCATGTTGTACCACTTCAGGTTCCTCTGCATATACTATTCAAAAACCATTTTAATCCTCTTGAATATTGTAAGAGATTTTTCAAAAGCTTTTTATAAAATTAATAATTTATTGGGAGATACTTGTTTTGCTGTGTATGAAAGAACACTGCTGGTAAACTAGTGTACTAATTATTCATACTTATGATGCAGAGTAATAAGACAATTGATGGACAGCCAAGGAATGTGACAACATTTGTATCTAAAGATTGTGACGCAGATGCACCTGAAGGTAAGAGAAATTAATGTATTTTCCCTTGTGATATGTGCATGCTCAGCTCAATAACAAGCAGCTCAGAAGTAATGAGCAGCTTGATCTCTGCATGGTTTTGATTTGCTTTGGTCTAGTATGAAGCTTTTATTTATAGCTATGTCCAGCAAACAGCTTGCTTACAGCTTATTTAATTAATTTGAAACAATTACTGGTTTTCTAAAAATCTTCGTTATGCTTTAAGGTGTATGCAGAAGACCTGAAAAGTAAACCCTGTGCTTTGGATAGTTTAGCATATGAAGTGTCACTTCAGTATATATATTTATCATACAAACATGTAAAGAATATTCTGCCACATTTTGCAGTGTACTCAGGAAAACAGATCTGAACTTCTCAGTGCAACTTTACAGATAAGAGAGTTCTGCAGGTTTATTCAGGTGTAAATAGGGGCTGTTCCATGAGCAAAAATACCAGCGGAACTTGACATCTTAAGCTTTTTTCTTGTAATCTACTTCAATTATAATTCCCTACAACATCCAGTATAATTCTTGATCATCTGTATTATTAGCCATCCCTTTTTGACCCATTTTTTGGGCAGAAAATGTGTTCTGGATATTCTGGAGCTGTGAGTAGTAACTAGCAAGCAGATGGATAATTGTGGAACTTGCAGAGATGGAAAGGCAAAGTAGAGCTTAATGCTTAATTTTTTTTGAGATAATGATAATGTTTTATTTAGTCTTTATTTCTATGTGACACTTGCTAAAGCTGGGAATGAGTTTTAACTTGTTTTCGTTAAAAAAACAAACTAATGAGAATCATGCTGGATTTGATTTTTATAATGCTGTCTTTCCCTTTCCTTGTCCTCTACATATAAACTGTATATCTTTCACAGTTTATAGGGTACTGCTGATACTGCTGTTTAAGGTCACCATCACTTTTATTCTTGTTTTTGTCCCTTTAAAAAAAAATCTCAGCAAAAGTTTTACGGCCTTCAGAATTGTCCAGATTTTCTCACACTGAATCTCAGTTGTTTTCTATCTGTCAAACTTTCAGCTCCTCTGTACAAAAAAGAACTGAATTAAGTATTTATATACTTACAAAATTGCTTGACAGTGTTTATTAATCTATAGAAAATATGTTTTCCAGTGTTCTCATCTAATTACCAGTAGCTACTGAATTCTGACTATGCTTCTAGAAGACCTTACAAACTCCTCTTGTTTTCGTCCAACTTGTGTTATTGGGAAAGATAATTTTTAATTTGAGACCATTTTTTTACTTGTGGAGATAACTGGGCCATTGTTTTTTTGTTCCCAGTCTCACACTGTGATCTCTCTTGCAAGGCGGTTCCCTGGTATTTAAACTCATCCTTAAATTCAGTATGCAGGTGTTAGCCTGTTCCTGGTGGTTCCTACAATTTCCCAAGGGGGATGGATTTTCCTGTTGTCACCTCCATACTTGAAATAAATAATTCATCCACTTTTTTTTTTAATAGCTATTTTTATATTTAATGCAGTTTTAAGTGTTTTGACTTTCTGGCAAATGTAATAGTTCAATTAATATTTAAGCTGCTGTATTTTTGTGGTTAAAAATAGAAATTCTTCTGTAGCAGATTCTGTAAGAGCAAAATCTGTCATCTTTCAAAATGAGATCACTTTGAGTGGGTTGTACGGGTCTTTATTTCTTGTAAACAGCTTCTTGGCTTGGCTAGTATTTGCTGGGAGAAGAATGTACTCACTGGCATCAATAAGTTCTTTAGTCTTGACTTTCCTGGGAGATATTAAAAACTAGTCTGATTTCCTCAGACTTTGTTGCTTAATTGTAGGAACTGAGGTTGGACTGAAATAAACTTCCTAGATTCCACATACACTTAATGATATTTGAGTACTTTGGATACTTTTCATAATTTATTTTCCTAATTTGCTTTGATCAATGGAAACAAAGCTGATGCTTAAAACTAGTGTACTAGTGTGCTGAACACACATGCTGCCCTAAATGATGGCTTTGGTTTGCCAATATTAACATGTGCTGCTGCACTGGATAACTGAGTCATGTTCTCATAACAGGAAAGAGGTAGAGAAGGTATTCGTATGCTGCTCTAGGACAGCCTAGTAAAAGTAGAAGATGGATGGATATTTCTTAAATGTGAACATTAATGTGATCAAAAGGCTCTAGTGGAGTTCTGTGAGCAACAGACACAGGCCATTGAAGGTTTTTTATAAATGAAATAAATGTTCTTCTAATACTCAACTTTAAGAAAAAAACAAAAGAAAACAAAAACCTCATTAGTGAAAATACTTAATGCATTTTTTTCATCCTGGTCAATTTTAGAAAGAGGAAATGTAATGCTTGCCTTAGAATACCTCCCATTTTTAATAGATGACAATGAAAACTAAAGAAAATAATTTTCGTAGATGCTACTCCTAGACTATGTGATCAGTTGGAGTAAGATATCAAGTGATACTTATTTAAAAGGTAGGATCTAGATTTTAGGATACAATTTCTCTCAGTTTTAAGGATACAGGACACAGAGCAAAAAGATGCAACTGATTTCAAGTTGAGATAAAGGTTGGCCAAGCACTTGTAGTGTTTATTAACCTCTCTGGTGTTAGGGTTTTATCTTATGTAAACTACTGAACTGGAACTAAATGCAAATATTGATTTGTCTTCTCAGCACTTTATTTTGCTTTATTTAAGCTGAATTAATTAAAACAGATGTTTTTCCTTAAACATAAACCAATCTGTGACCTCTTAATGGCTGTGCTGACAGATAAGCTTATAGCAATCTGTTCTGTTTTATTGACTACTCAGATGTTGTAGATTTGATCTCTACTTACTGTAACTAAGTACACTTTTTTCTTTTCTGAAATGCTAAGATACCTGATCTGATCTCGTTGCAGCAAATAATACTAAAAAACTTTAATATTGTTAAAAGTTCAGGCTTTAATGAGCAGTGCTTTCTATATGAGTTTTAAACCAGTGCTGGGCTTGATGAAAAGGACAATTACACTTTCTGAAGAAACGTAAGGCAGTTAAAATACAGTCTTATAAAAACACAGTCTTAAGTATTTAAGGATAAATAAATAATTGGGGGGGGTTTAGCATTATATTGTCTGCTTTCACGCAGCAAAGCTTGTTTCCATTTACTCCTGGTATCCAGGAGGTGAATCTGTTTTATACTGAATGCCAGGGGCCCTAACATCTTCCTGAGATGGACAAAACAGAAGCTAAAAAGTAATAGAGCAGGCTACATCATTAAAGTACTGTTTCTTAGTTATACTTAAACATCTTGCTCAAAAGACTTGTGTTTTGGTCAACAAATTTTTTAGAATTCTTTTGGAGCAGCACATGTAATAGTTACAGGCAAAATAAGCATTAGTTTTCAGTGTTGGATACAGTTGGGCAAAGATCTTTTTTGATCATTTTCAGGGACTCTTGCCAGCTGGAGTGTTGGGTCTGCAATTCAGTTGAGCAAAAGGTCGAGCAAAGGAGTTCAAATATGTGATTGACTCTTGCAGATGGACTAATGCATTGGTAACTTGGCATAGGTTTAGCTGAACAGGTTAGTGAGATTTAATGTAAATGAGCAATGACTTGGCTCCAAGCCTGTCTACAAAACTTTTCCCAACCTTGCTTATGAAATCTGGTAAACGCTATCTGCTTTTTTTTAGACCAGAAAACCATAAAGGTTGGTTTTTAAGCATTATTCACTTTAAAAGTGTAGTATGCTATGAATTCCTGTGAATTTACTTGGTCTCTCTCATTTCCTTAATTGGAAAAATGAGCCTTACTCAAGCCCTGCTAGATGCTGGGTACAGTTTATCTGCTGCACTTTTTGTATAGAACTGCACTGGCTTCAACTGCATATAAAGTGAGAAGGAAAAAGGTTATCTCAGTTTCTAAAAGCTTTGAACTGAACTGGGCTTATTGTGCTAATTAGAACTATGCCTTATAGGACACTCCTGTCAGCTGGCAGTCAACAAGTGCAAGACCTCAGGCTTTATTTTAACCTGAATAAAGACTAGATGTAGACATTACCCAAGGTAAAAAGGAACATCAAATATGAATGCCAAAACAGTAGTGTGTTCTTTTTCTTCCTTAAGAGAAATCCAGGAAGTGTCCAAAATGAAAGCACAAGCAAATTGCTCAGAACCTTCAATATTAGTGATTTTGTGTTAAGTATCTTATGACCATCAATTACTTCTTCCAAATGATTGTCTTAAATAAATTAATTTGCAAAGTTATAATATGCTTCAGAAAAAGCTTAAAGGAGGATTTTAGTGAGGACTTAATTTTCCTGTTACTGAATGACCTTGCCAGTAGTTTACCTTGAATTTCTACTTATACCTAAGATTATTCAAGTCCTCTGTAACCGTGAGATAAACACAATGGTGCATGTTTGATTCCAGACCACTGTGTTTAGGTCCCACTATTGTGAACAGTTATGAGCTGCTCTGAACTACCCCTCTTCTCACTACAATAGACCATAACTGGAGAGAGAAGAAGCTGCATTTACTGAATACTCTGAAGTGTTGAATATAGTTTAGCAGTAAAACAATTGCATAACGTCTTACTGGGTCAAAATCCTAGTTTTATTGCCTGTTGGATTTAAGTCAAACAGTTAAGTGAAATGCTCTGATATTATCAGTACTTTGGAATAAGAGTTGAAGCTCCTTAGAGTTGAGGGGTATGCATCCATTATTAAAAGGAAGGAACAAACCTAGTGCAAGTACCCCTTTGAGTAATAAACCTACCAACAATTTGTCTACAAAATGATCCTTTTAATAAAGGCAGTTCTTTTACCAAAATAAAGTGACATACTTGGCCTCTCTATAAAGAACACCACCAAATCTTTTAATCACAGAGAAACATTAATTACAATGTGTATTGGAAATATGTCAGTAAAAAGTGAGAAGCTGTTTCTGCTATTTTAATCAAATTATCTTTCTATCTTGGTACAGACAGCTGATGAATTCATTACATAATATGCTCAGGAACAGCAATGCAGAAAACTTAACAGTGTA